GTAAATCATATTTTTTGTGAGTGTAAGGAGCATGGTTAGTGTGGATGGAGGTGTTGCGATGGTGGGGATTACAGGGTGTTTTGTCGAACGACATTTTCGATTTGGTAGAGTTCGTGATGCATGGTATTAGTGGAGGTCGTTTGGCGGATTTAGGGGCTTTCATTTTTCTGATTGTTGCTTGGTTTATTTGGTTCCGAAAGAATATGCAGGTGTTTGACACAAAGTTGATGTCTGTGGAGTTAGTTTTGAAGTATATACAACATAAATCATTCTTATGGCTTAAAAATAAAGAGAAAGGGAGTGTTTTTTCTTATCAAGAATGGGTCTCTAGTCCGATGGAGTGCAGGGAGGCCATTATCCAGCATCATAATAATCGGAAACTGTATCACATGTGGCAACAAGATGTGGGATGATTTTACTGTGCGTAAGTGTTGCTGATTCTTGTGCTAAATCGTCAACTCCTAGATGCTGGTTCCGGGCTTCATGTATGATTTCATGTGATTTCTTTTGAACATTTTTCTTGATAGTTGTAATTCCATTTTAGGGTATTTCTCATACTCCTAATTAATATATATCATTTGTTTTGCTGATAAAATATATATATATATATATATACACATATTACTAAAGGATACAATATTGTATAACAATGATACTCCTCGGATGGCGTAAAAAGGACAGTGGCTGACCAGCAATCAATTCTTGGGCCAGCGACATGTCACATTGTGGTCCTTTAATTCCTCAGGGGTTCGGTTAGGAGGTCATATCGGCAGTTGAGACATTTTGTATTGGATTTATATCACACTGCGAGCACATACCTTCAGAAAAATAGATAAAATTTAAGTTAAATGTTAATCTTGATTCTTTAATTTTAAAATTTTATAAAATTTTTATTTTTTTATTTTTTATTTACATTTTTTGGTCCTTGCACCATTAAACTTTTATTTTATTAGTCTTTTGTCAATTAATCCATTAAATTTATTTAAATTTATATATTTTTTATCTCTCAATTTTTGATATATGCACATTTTTCATCTTTCAATTTAAAGTTGATAAACTAAAAATATGTATATTTAGATAAATTGAATAGATTAACTAACAAAAAAATTAAAAATGTGTATTTTTCATAGTTAAAAAATAAAAAAATGGATAAAAAAATTAAAATGAAAATTCTACAAACTTTAAAGTTGAGAGATTAAAATTGACATTTAACCTAAAATTTAACTTTTGAATATCTAAATTCAAAACAGACAAGATAAATTTAAAAAAAAAATAAAAAAAAGGAAAAAGACAAGATAAACATTTTTACTTTTTGAAAATTAATATAACATAAGCTTAGTTTGATAATATTAATATATAATTATAATATCAAGTTTTTCAGTTCTTTAATATTTTAAAAATATATCAAATATGTTTAATATATTTAATATTTATTTTAATTAATATTTTATATATTTTTAAAATAATCAAAAATATAAAAATTATAAAATAAAATATCAAAATGTATTGTTAAATAAAGTCATAAGTCATCACTTCAAGAAAAATAGTTTTTTAGTGACAAAAATTTATGATAAATTTTGAAATCATCACTATAACTTATCACAATCGTGACAAATCTAAAAAATTAATCACAGATACATACATATTTAATGATAAAGAAAAACATTAATCATAAAAAATATATTTTATCACCAAAATATGTTCATAAAGATAAAATAAGTTTTTATTGATAAAAATCGTCACTATAATACATTACAATTATAATAGTTAATTGTAAAATGATATTTTCACAAAATGTTATATCATCCTTTAATATTTGATACAAATATTACAGAGGAGGCCAAAATGATAGAAATCAAAGCTGCAGATTTCAATCCCTTCTTTCTCGTGGCACGTGACGAACAAGTAAACCCATCAATGGATTGACACAAATTTGGGTTTTCAAGATAAGAATTTGTAGAAATCGTCACAAAGAAAGGTGTCACAGGAATTGGACCTGAGAAGTTATTGTAGGAGATGTTCAAGGTAGTAAGGCTAGTAAGGGAACTTAAAACCTTGATTCTTCCACATAACTTGTTGTGAGAAAGATCAAGAGATTGCAGCTCTGTCAAACTGGAGAAACTTCCTGGTAATTCTCCGGTGAAAGAGTTGCAGCTTAAGTCGAGAATGATGGTTAAGCTTGTCAAATAACCAATCTCCGAGGGAATTTCACCAGTGAAGTTGTTGCTGCTCAAGTCAAGCTCAACAAGTGCAGAACAATTAGAAAGCTCTGCTGGAATTTGACCCGACAACTCATTTCCCCACAACAACAAGCTAGTGAGCTTTTGAAGCTTACCGAGCTGTGGAGGTATTGAACCGGTCAGCTTGTTCATGGGCAAATATAAATTCCTCAACTCAAGGCATGATCCAATTTCAGGAGGAATCGACCCGGATACCTCCGTGTAGTAAAGAGCCAGTGTGTGGAGATTGGACAAGTTACCAAATGTGGGTGGGATTACGCCTGAAACTCTGGTATCGGCAGCTCCAAATATTGTGAGATTGGTGAGGAGACCTAATTGGGAAGGGATTTCCCCTGTCAAATTAGGATTTCCCCCTACTCTGAGCTGCTGGAGGGAAACCAAAGAACCCAGTTGAGATGGGATTGAACCATTGAGGAGGTTGTCCTGGAGCCAGAGAACTTGGAGGGAAGTGAGGTTGGCTAACTGCGGCGGAATCTGACCGCTAAGTCTATTAAAATTCAAGCAAAGAAACTGAAGGGCAGAGAGCTGGCTGAGCTCTTTGGGAATGGGGCCGGAGAGGGAGTTGGAAGAAAGGTCTAGGAGGCGAAGATTGGTGAGTTGGCCAAAGGGAGGAGGGATTGTACCGGAGATGTTGGTGGAGGAAAGGTTGAGGAGCTGAAGGGATGAAAGTGAGGAGAGTGCCGGTGGAATAGAGGAAAGATTCAGGAAAGTGTTTGGGAGAGACAGAGAGATTACTCTGTTTTGGGGTGAACATTCTATGCCGTGCCATGAGCATGGAGTCTGCAATGATGGGTTCCACGAGGAGAGAACCGAAGATGATGACTTTGCTGATGGGCTGGCTGCAGATAGAAGAGAGAGGAGCGCTTCCCCGTCGGAAGAAAGCGCGGTGGCTAAGCTAAAAAAGAAAAGGAAAAACAGCAGCAAAGGGATGACTTTGGCCATTTGAAATAATCGAAATGTGGCTGGGAAGCAAGTGGGTTTTGATTTTGGGTAAATCAAGTGAGGTCTGCTGTTTATGTGTGTAGGAAGCTGCAACAAGCAAGTGAAGAAGAGTGAGTTCTGGAAATCAGTAGCAGCTCTATTTATGCACGAGTTAAAGCCAACTATAGTCCCTCTACTTTCGTTTTTCATTTATTGTCCTCCCTGTACTTTGAAATTGTTCAAAGACCTCCCTCTACTCTCACAAAACATACTCCTTCTACTTTCAGTTTTCATACTAATTATCTCCCTCACCTAACACCTAGGTGACACCATTATTAACTGTCTTTGAACGATGTCAAAGTATAGGGAAGACAATGAATGAAAAACGAAAGTAGAGAGACTATAGTTGGCTTTAACCCATTTATGACATAAATTTTTGAAATGATTAAAGCCAATTGTCGTCCCTCTACTCCTCTTTTTTGTTCATTGTTGTCCTTTCCTTGACGTTGTTCATGTTGCCGTTATGCTAACCATTAATTCCTAAACGGTCAGTAGTTAAACCCAATTGTTCGATTTTTTTTCCCACATGTGCTGCCACATATATCTGCATATAATGGGCACATAAATATCTATGTTCTATTTTTCTTCCCTATATAACAGATAAACCTATAGGTGAACAAATAAGAATCTCAAGAATAAGAATTTAGCAGTGAAATTTAATAATTCACAACCCTGCTTGAGGAACATATGTGGTAATATCACAGGCACAATTTAAAAGAATAACTCTTGTAAGTGGTAACACCTTCCATAAACTAATAATTCCAAGGCTACTAATAAAGAAATAAAATAATTTCAATGCTCAATACATGACATGATCCTGCCAAAATCTAGAAAAAGTAAAAGATAAAATAAATGCAGAAGCCATGAGAGATTAATTTTTTAAAGAATAAGAAAAAAACTGAGAAAATTTTTAAAGCCATAAAATGATTACTAAAGCAATAGTTTGACCTTCCTTTTTACACCATCAACAA